TAATCTTAACCCTAAATCTAATGCTAACCTCTAACTATAACCCTAACCCTAAACCTAAACCTAACCCTAACGCTAACCCTACCCCTAAACTCAAACCATAAACCTAACCCTAACCCTAACCCAAACACTAACCTCTAACTCTAACTCTAACCCTAACCCTAACCCTAACCTAAACCTAACCCTAACCTATAACCCTAACACTAACCCTAATCCTAACACAAACCTAACTTCTAAACCTAACACTAACCCTAACACTAAACCTCAACCTAACCCTAATCCTAACGCTAACCCTAACCTTAAACCTAACCCTAAAGGTCAACCTAACACTAACCGTAAGCATAACGCCAAACCCTAATCCTAACCCTAACTGTAACCCTAACCATAATCTAACGCTAACCGTAACCCTATCCCTAACCATAAAATTATACCTAACACCTAATCACTAATCCTAACCCTAAACCTAAACCTAACCCTAACCCTAAACCTAAAGCTAACCCTAATCCTAAAACTAACCCTAACCCTAACCTAATCATAACTCTAACCCTAAACTAACACAAAGCCTAACCCTAACACTATCCCTAACACCTAACCCCTAAACATAACCCAAACCCTAAGCCTAACCCCAACCCTAACCCTAACAGTAACCCTAAACTTAAACCTAACACTTACCCTAACTCTAACCCTAACCCTAAAACTAACCCTAAGCCTAACACTAAACTCTAACCCTAACCCTAACAATAACCCTAACCCTAAGACTAACCTTAATCCTAACCCTAACAGTAATGCTAACCCTAAACCTAATCCTAACCTTAACCCTAAACCTCAACCTAACCCTAACCTTAACACTAATGACAAACCCTAATCCTTACCCTAACCCTAACACTAACTCTAAACCTAAGCTTCAACCCTAAGCCTAACCCTAACCCTAATCCTAATGCTAAACCTACCCCTAAACTCGAACCGTAAATCTAACCCTAACCCTAACACTAACACTAAACCCTAACACTAACCCTAACACTAACACTACCCTAACCTTAACCCTAACCTCTAACCCTAACACTAACTCTAACCCTAACACAAACCTAACTTCTAACCCTAACACTAACCCTAACACTAAACCTCAACCTAAACCTAATCCTAACGCTAACCCTAACCCTAAACCTAACCCTAAATGTCAACCTAACCCTAACCATAAGCCTAACTCCAAACCCTAATCCTAACCCTAACCGTAACCATAACTGTAAACTAACCCTAACCTTAACCCTAACCATAAACCTATCCCTAACACCTAATCACTAACCCTAACCATAACCCTAAACCTAACCTTAACCCTAAACCTAACGCTAACCCTAATTCTAAAACTAAACCTAAACCTAACCTTTACCCTAACCCTAACCTAATCATATCTCTAACACTAACCATAACACAAAGCCTAACCCTAACCCTATACCTAACACCTAACCCCTAAACATAACCCGAACCCTAAGCCTAAGCCTAACCCTAACCCTAACAGTAACCCTAACACTAAACCTAACACTTACCCTAATGCTAACCCTAACTCTAACCCTAAAACTAACCCTAACGCTAAACCTATCCTCTAAACCTAATCCTAAACCTTACCCTAACCCTAAACCTAATCATAAGACTAACCCTAACCCTAAACCTAAACCTAAGCATATCACAAACCTAACTTCTAACCCAAACCCTAACCCTAACACTAAATCTCAATGTAACACTAACCCTAAACCTAACCCTACCCCTAATCCTAAACCTAACCAGAAACCTCAACCTAACCCTAACCCTAATGCAAAACCTAATCCTAAACCTAACAATAACCATAACCCTAACACTAAACCTATCCCTAACACCTAACCACTAATCCTAACCCTAAACCTAACCCTAACCGTAACCCCTAATCCTAACCCTAACCCTAACCTATCCTCTAACCCTAATCCTAACACTTACCCTTATCCCTAACCCTAACCCAAACACTAACCTTAACACTAAACCTAAACCGAACCCTAAACCTAACACTAACCAAAACCCTAAACCCTAAACCTAACCCTAACACTATCCCTAAACCTAAACCTTGCCCTAACCCTAAATCTAACCCTAACCCTACCCCTAACCATAACCCTAACCCTAACCTCTAAACTTAACAATAGCCCTAACCCTAACATTAACACTAACACAAAACTAACTTCTAACCATAAGCCTATCCCTAACCCTAAACCTCAACCTAACCCTAACACTAACCATAAACCTAAAGGTAAATTCTAAGACTAACCCTAACACTAAACCTAAGCTTCAAAACTAACCCTAACCCTAACCCTAACCTCTAAGCCTAACCCTAACCCTATCCCCAACCCTAATCCTAACCATAAATCTAATGCTAACCTCTAACCATAACCCTAACCATAACCCTAACCCTACCCCTTAACTAGAACCATAAAACTAACCCTACCCCTAACCCTAACACTAACCTCTAACTCTAACCCTAACCATAACCCTAACAGTAACCATAACCCTACCCCTAAACCTAACCTAACCCTAACCCTAACCTCTAACCCTAACACTAACCCTAACACAAATCTAACTTCTAACCCTAACACTAACCCTAACACTAAACCTCAAACTAACCCTAATCCTAAAGCTAACCCTAACCCTAAACCTAACCCTAAACGTCACCCTAACCCTAACCATAAACCTAACACCAAACCCTAATCCTAACCCTAACCGTAACCCTAACCATAACCTAACCCTAAACCTAACGATAACCATAAACCTATCCCCAACACCTAATCACTAAACCTAACTCTAACCTTAAACCTAACCCTAACCCTAAACCTAATGTTAACCCTAATCCTAAAACTAACCCTAGCTCTAACCCTTACCCTAACCCTAACCTAATCATACCTCTAACCCTAACCATAACACCAAGCTTAACGCTAACCCTATCCCTAACACCTAACCCCTAAACATAACCCGAACTCTAAGCCTAACCCTAACCCTAACGCTAACAGTAACCCTAACACTAAACCTAACACTTTCCCTAACTCTAACCCTAACACTAACCTTAAAACTAACCCTAATCCTATCACTAAACTCTAACTCTAACCCTAACCCTAACAATAACCCTAACCCTAACCCTAACACTAACACTAACCATAAATCTCAACCTAACCCTAACCCTAACCCTAATGACAAACCCTAATCCTAACCCTACCCCTAATTCTAACCCTAAACCTAACCTATACTCTAACCCTAATCCTAACCCTTACAGTATCCCTAACCCAAACCCTAACCCTAAACCTAAACAAAACCCTAAACCTAAATCTAACCAAAACCCTAAACCCTAACCCAAACCCTAACACTATCCTTAACCCTAACTCTAGCCCTAACCCTAAATCTAACCCTAACCTTACCACTAACCCTAACCCTAACCCTAACCTCTAACCTTAACACTAGCCCTAACACTTACCTTAACCCTAACATAAACCTAACTTCTAACCATAAGCCTATTCCTAACCCTAAACCTCAACCTAACCCTAACCCTAACCATAACCCTAAAGCTAACTTCTAAGCCTAACCCTAACACTAAAACTAAGCTTCAACACTAACCCTAACCCTAACCTCTAAGCCTAATCCTAACCCTATCCATAACCCTAACCTTAATCCTAACCCTAAATATAATGCTAACCTCTAACCATAACTCTAACCCCAACCCTAAACCTAATCCTAACCCTAACACTAACACTAAACCATAATCCTAAACCTAACACTATCCCTAACACTAACCCTATCCCTAAATCCAACCCTAAACCTAACCCTAACTAACCCCTAACCCTAACCCTCACCCAAAAACTAACCCTAACACTAACTCTAAACCTAACCCCAAAACTAAACGTAATCATAACCCTAAACCTAACTGTAAGGCCACCCAAACACTACCCCTCTCCCTGACACCTAACACCTAACCCTAACCCTAACCATAACCCTAACTGTAACACTAACCCTAACCCTAACACTAACCCTAACTTCTAATCCTAAGCCTAACCCTAAACCTAAACCTAAACATAAACCTAACCCTAACACTAAACTCTAACCCTAAACTTACCCTAACAATAACCATAAACTCTAACCCTAATCCTAACCATAACCCTAACACTAACCATAAGCCTAACCTCTAACCCTAACCCTATAACTCTAACCCTAACCCTAAACCTAACACTAACACTAACCCTAACCCCTAACAACATACCCTAATCTTAACCCTAACCTAACCCTTAAACTAAACCTAACCCTAACCCCAATCAACCCTAAACCCAAACAAAACCCTACCTCTGTCTAAACCTAACACTAACCCTAACCCTAACACTAACCCTTACCCTAACCCTAACAATAACACTAACCTCTAACACTAACCTCTAACCCTAACACTAATCCGAACCTGAACACTAACCATAACACTAACCCTAAACCTAACCCTAACCTCTAACCCTAACCATAACCATAACCCTATAACTCTAAAGCTAACCCTAACCCTAAAGCTAAACCTAACCCTAAAACTAACCTCTAAACCTAACCCTAACCCTAACCCAAACACTAACACAAAACTTCACTTCTAACCCTAAACCTAACCCTAACCCTAAACCTCATCCTAGCCCTAACCCTAACCCTAATGACCAACCCTAAACCTAACCCTAACCTTAACCATAACCCTAATCTAACCCTAAGTGTAACCCTAACTCTAACCCTAACCCTATATCTAACACCTAACCCCTAACCTTAACCCTAACCCTAACACTAACACTAACCCTAAACCTAATGCTAACTCTAACCCTAATCCTAAAACTAACCCTAACCCTAACCCTTACACTAACCCTAACCTAGTCATTGATCTGGCCTGCAGATCAACATATCCAGAACTTCTGGAGGGGGAACGGGGATTAAATAAAAGACATGGGGGAGACAAAAGAGACGAAGGCAAGTTGAGATAATCCAATCAAGCCTCCGGTTTATTCAGAAAATGATCACACCTTTTATAGGCTAAGGGCGGGAGCTGGGACAGGAAGAGGTTAAACAGATGAATACAACAGGGTCACCGTCACATCCAGATACGTGATGTAAGCAGGAGAGGATTATGGTTAATGTAGGCAGACGCAGTGCCCATAGAGAGAGGCATGGAGGCAGCAATGCCTGTCACTCGGCTCCCTACATCTCCTCCCTTTTTATATTATTTAATTAAGAGTATGGCAGGCCCTGTGAGGACAGCGTCTGTCTTAGGTCAAGGACCTCATTGCGTGAACCCAACCAGGCCTTACCCATCATGGGCTTGTAGAACAGCAGTTGGTCCTGTGCCTGTCTTAGGTGGCCGTTGGAATTAACATGCATGTCCTAGTTGCCCGTCTCTGACTGCCTGTCCATTGCTCCAGAGCAGTTAGGCCGCATCATCATATGGGCCACTGTGGGAATTCCTTCCCAGTAGGTTTGTTGATCTGCCATCTCCAGCTGATGATAGTGTACCTGAATGGGCTTTGCCATAAATGCGTCTATCCTGTTATTAATGAACATCATAATCCTCTGAAAAATACAAGGACTCACAGAAATGAGAAACAATAGGGCAGCTAGGGGACCCAAAAGGGGCACTAGGTAAGGAAAAAACTCCCCCCCCAATCAAGGAGAAGGGGTTGACAGCCATTTGTTGGTGTCTCTGTATGAAGTCATTCTCCTATGTCTTGGAGCATGCCTTGCATAACATTGGATGCAGTCTATTTGGCTGGTGTATGTTCCTCCAGACCGAGAAGAGCCTCTTCCACAGTCATGGGGTTCTGTGCATGGCTGTCAGCAATTGTAGTCTGTTTGGCAGGGATCGAAATCCACCATGGGTGTGGTGTGGCTCAAGAAGGCTGACTAAGCAGCATAAGGCTCCAGGGAGATGTGTCACCTGTAAGAGAACACAGGGGATTGTGTCTCAGGAAATAACATTATTCCTGGGTGTTACATGGGGTCTTTGAAGAACTATTTACTTGTTTTATGAGGTGTTCAGGTAGCCATCTAGCTTCTCTATCTTGTTGAGAGTAAACACACACTGAACCTCGTCCCCAGATAAGGACTAGATCAGGGCCATTCCACACATTGGTTAGTGGGTCTCTCCATAAAACAGATGCAAACCGTGTTTGAGTCTGAGTATGTCAAAACCGAGATGCTGCGGAGCAGCCTGAAGCTGTCAGGGTCAGAAAATTTAAAATAAAAAGAGCATGTGAAAAGACATTTCTAGGGAACCCCTGGGTGGGGTACCATGTCTCCCTTTTTATTTTATCTATGGTGAATTTAAGGGAACGATGCGCATGTTCAACAATGCCTTGTCCCTGAGGATTATAAGGTATACCTGTGGTGTGGAGGATATTAAGGCTCTTGCAAAATTGAGCAAAGGAGGTACTGGTATAGCCAGGGCCATTATCGGTCTTAAGCTGTTGAGGACATCCCAGAACTGAGAAGGCTGACAGCATATGGGCTATAATGTGTCTAGCAGCTTCTCCAGTCTGGAGAGTGGCAAAAATGAAACCACTATATGTGTCAATAATGACATGTACATATTTTAGATTGCCAAACTCATTGAAATGGGTAACATCCATTTGCCATAAGGTGTTAGGAATTAAACCTCTAGGGTTGACTCCTAGGTGTTGAACAGGTAAGTGGATAGCACAAGATGGGCAATTTTTTACAATTTGTCTGGCTTGCTCATGGGTAATTTTATAGAGGAGGCGGAGGAGAGCATTGAGGTGGTGTAGCTGATGGGCTTGTTGGGCCTTAGACACGTTGGAGTCCTGAGCCATAAAAACCTGTGCTCGTACAGCAACATCAGCCAAATGATTTCCTTGGGCAAGAGGCCCTGGGAGGTTGGAATGAGCTCGCAGATGACCGATAAAGAACTTATGATGGCGAAGCCATATGAAGCATTGTAATTGTTTGAACAGATTTGCAGCTGGGGAAGCATGACATATGGTAGCAACAGTCTCTAATAATGGAACAGACAGCAAGGTAAGCACTGTCAGTATACAAATTAAATGGTCGGTCAGAGTAAGCAGCAAAGGCTGCAAGAATAGCTTCTAACTCTGCTAATTGTGCAGAGGAAGTGTCTGCCTGGAGGGTAGAAACATTGTCTTGGGATACATAAGCAGCCCTTCTGGAGGATGAGCCATCAGTGAATAACACCAGGGACCTGGAAGGGGTTGTGAAGCTGTGACTTTAGGGAATATAAATGGGTGACGATTAGCAAAGTCAACTAGCTTATTTGGAGGGTAATGATTGTCAATAGTCCCTGAAAAGGAAGCTAAGGCAATAGGCCACACCTCTGTACTCTGAAGTAGCCAATCTATTTGGTCTTTTGTAAAAGGTTGAATGCTAATGTCTGGTTCTTTGCCAAAGTAACATTTTCCTTGCTTTCTACCCTGAATTATTAGGTCTGAGACAGCTTGGAAATAAGGCAGAATTGTTCTTTTTGGGGAGACTGATAAATGGACCCACATGATGTGAGCTTGTTGCCAGAACACTGTTGTGGGACAAAGCTTTGTATTAAAAATGAGAAACTGTAAAGGCTCATTGTAGTCCATAAAGGAAACAGTTTGTTGAGCAATAGCCTCTCCTACTTTACTGAGTGCTCTCTTGGCATCAGGTGTAAGCTCTCGGGAGGAAGTTGGATTTATGTCTCCCTGAAGCAGTGCATAAAGGGACTGTAAATCATGTTTAGTTAGTTTTAAAAATGGTATGAGCCAATTAATGTCTCCCAATAGTTTTTGGAAGTCATGAAGTGTTCTGAGGCCATCAAGCCTCAGTTGGGGCCTTAAAGAGAGTATTTGAGTGCCACATAATTGAAAACCCAAGTATGTATATGGATCAGTAAGCTGTACTTTATCAGGGGCTATTTGAAGTCCAGCCTCTTGTAAGGCAACCTGTAAGTCCTGGTAGCACCTTAGGGTTTGGTTTTGATCATCTCCTGCCAAGAGGATATCGTCCATATAATGAATAATATAGATATGTGGCCAATGATCTCTGACTGTCTGTATTGAAGTGGCTACAAAAGACTGGCATAGTGTGGGGGAATTAGCCATACCTTGCAGCAAAACTCACCATTGAAATCTCTGCATAGGGGCTTTAAAATTAATTGATGGGAGGCAATTAATTGATGAAGGCAAAACACTTTTGGTCCTTTGGATGTAAAGGAATAGAGAAAAAGCAAACTTTAAGATCTATGACAATTTAAAAAAAATCCCAATGGAATGACACTGGGTGAGGGGAGGCCTGGCTGTAGGGGCCCCATTAAGACCATTGTCTTATTTATCGCCCTAAGGTCTTGTAGTAGCCTCCATTTCCCTGACCTTTTCTGGATAACAAAGATAAGTGTGTTCCAAGGGGAGTTACTAGGGACAATGTGGCCTGCATCTAACTGGTCCTGCACCAGCTACTGTGCATCTGCAAGCTTTTCAGAGGTAAGGGGCCACTGATCGACCCATACTGGCTCTTCTGATAGCCATGTAATTTGTTTAGCATGGATCGCAGGAGCGTCAATGGCTCCTAACAAAAATGGCCTAACCCAACTTTAGCATTGTTAGGGATGGGAATGATGGGATCAGTAATGCCCATGTTATTTTTTCCTAAGCCCTGTTTTGGCAGGTAGCCCTTATTAAGCATTTGCATTGTGACAACATTATTAGGGCTTCCCATAATTAATCCCATTTGGGAGAGTAAGTCTCTTCCCCATAAATTAAGAGGCAGACTATCTATGACATAAGGTTGTAAGTGTCCCTGATTACCTTCTTGATCTCTCCAAACCAGTTGTTTCGAACTGTGTTGTGGATTTTTTGAGTGTCCAATCCCTAGGAGGTGTGTTAAGGTTGTTTCTAAAGGCCAGGCAGTAGGCCACTCCTCCTTTTTGATAATGGAAACATCTGCACCTGTATCAATGAGGCCTGAGAAACTTTTTCCATCTAAAGATAGAGTCATGAGGGGCTTTTGTTTGGAGATACGTTGGGCCCAATATACATCTGAAGCTCCAGGAAAGGAGTTCCCCCTATAAGGAGTTATGGATTTGTTAGATGTTTGAGCCAACGGCAATAGCAGCAATTGAGCAAGGTGTTGCCCTGTCCTAACTAGTATGACACCGACAAGGGGAGAAACCATGACTTTTATTTCTCCTGTGTAATCACTACTATCCCAGGCAGAACTTGTAATCCTTTAAGCGTAGTGCTACTACGTCCAATAATAAGTCCAAAAGTCCCGGGGGGAGGGGGCCCATAGATTCCTGAGGGTATGATCTGAACACCCATGTCAGGGGTTAATACTGTGCTGGAGGTGAAACAGAGGTCCAACCCCACACTCCCTGGGGTTGCCCTGAAGAGGTCTGAAATGGATGGCTTTTTACTGGGACAAACTTTGGAGCCCCACGGGTTTGTCCAGAATTGGGGGCCTGGGGCCAGCCCCGTAACCCGTTTCCCTGTGGGGGAAGAGGGTTACCGTGAACATCTCTTTTGGATTTGCACTCATTAGCCCAGTGGTCTCCTCGCTTACATCTAGGACATAGCCCTGGTTTTTTTGTAGAGGACTGATTTTGATTTTTTCTTTTGCACTCATGAGCCATGTAGCCACTTTGGCCACATTTGAAACAAATGGCATCTTTTTTAGGACGAGAAAGGGGTTGTGTAACTATGCAACCTTGTTGTGTTGCAGCCATGGCTAGGCCTTGATAAACCGGCCCAATATCTGTACGTAAGTGTATATAACCCAATAGGTCCTCTTTTTTGCGATGTGGTCGAATTGCAGCCTGACAATCTGAGGTTGCATTTTCATAAGCCAATTGTTTAACCAGGGCAGAGTTTGTTTCCGTGGAGCTGAAAAGATGCTCTGCAGCCTGTAAGAGGCGATTGACAAAGTCCAAAAAGGGCTCCTCAGGCTTTTGTTTTATTTGGGTGACAGATAAGGTAGGCTCGTCTCCGGAGGGGAGCCGTTTCCATGCTCTAATGGCTGCCATATTAATCTGGGCAAAGAGGCCTGAATCAAACTGCATTTGGGTCTCTTTTGTGTCAAAATCTCCTGTTCCTGTAAGCATAGCGAGGGTCCAGGGGTTTGGCCGTGTGGCGTTGTCTCTGGCTATGTCCTCGCATTGATCAAAAAATTCAGATCTTCATAATAGATAATTGCCTCCGGAGAGGGTGGCTTTTGCTAAGTCTTTCCACTCATTAGGAATAATCCAACCCTGAGTCAAAGAGTCTATAACTGCAATGGTGTAGGTGGCAGTTGGGCCATATTGAGAGACTGCGGCCTTTAACTCTTTTAAGGCTGCCACGGTGAGAGGTGTGTGTATCCTAACAGCTTGTGGTTCAATGCCCTCTTCAACATCCCATGGGGGAGTAAAGGCCTCTGTGACTGGGAAAGCCATTTTAGGCTGGCTGCCAGAGGCAGGCACCATGTTAAGCACACTACAAGGCATGCTGGAGGCAGGCTCCATCTCAGGGACACTATAAAACTGTGTAGCTCAGAGGGCCTGCAATTGAATTGAAAGATTTTGGCATTCTTTTTCTAGGTGTATCTGTTTTAAAAGATCTGTTTTTCTTTGCTCTAACGCCACTAATGTGCTAGAAGGTTGAGAACAGATGCTGAGTGCATCATCATAGTCAGGGGACGGCCTAATAGCGGCTGGCACTGCAACAGGGTTAGGGTGATATGTAGAGGCTTGTTGTGTTGGTTGTTCCCAGTTGACCTCCTGAGAATCAGAAAGGCTGGGGTCTAAAGGCTTATATGAATCCCCAATTGGCCATGGAGGCACAGGGAGTGGTGGGCTGCCATCCTGGGACCTGCTGATCATGTCAACAGGTGGAACTGGTGGCAGATCACCATGTATGAGGACCTCTAACAGGCCATCATCCTCTGCATCTGAGAAATCAGAAGCTTCAGATTTTTCTGAGGATGGTTTTGAGGTAGATTTAATGGAGTTGCGCAAGGCAGCCTCACCTAATGCAACTGTCTCCTCAACCTGAGGGTCTGCATGCCTCTGGGCAAGCAGCTCAGAGATTAAATTCCAATATGTAAAGGTGGTCACAGGAACCTTTTCTGGACTGAAAACTCTATAATAATCTTTTAAAGCATCTCTTACTCTATTCCACCTCTTGGTATCTATAGAACCCTCTACGGGAACCAAGGGCAAACCTTATGAATAAATTGAAAATACTGCAATAATCTAACCTTACCCCTCTTGTCTTTAATGCCTTTAATAAGAACTCCCACGAACACTTCGTGTTCGCTCAATACTTGACCCAGGTCCGGGAAGGGAAATGGGGTTGCCGTTCACTCACCGTGACTCGGGTAGGATGTTGGGTAGTTGTCTGCGCAGGTCTTGGTACTTAATTTAATGTCCTGTTGCTTTAAGCTTTAATCCTTGATTCAGTTTGCTCACTCCTCGGGCGAGGTCTCTGGTTCAATTTGCTTTCACTTTCAGTTTAAGCCGGCTGTCTCTCGAACGGCTCCCTCATTAACTCCTCCGTGCCAGGAGCTCCCATGCTGAGCGCCACTTGATCCGGCCTGCAGATCAACATACCAGAACTCCTGGAGGGGGAACGGGGATTAAATAAAAGACATGGGGGAGACAAAAGAGACGAAGGCAAGTTGAGATAATCCAATCAAGCCTCCGGTTTATTCAGAAAATGATCACACCTTTTATAGGCTAAGGGCGGGAGCTGGGACAGAAAGAGGTTAAACAGATGAATACAACAGGGTCACCATCACATCCGGATATGTGATGTAAGCAGGAGAGGATTATGGTTAATGTAGGCAGACGCAGTGCCCATAGAGAGAGGCATGGAGGCAGCAATGCCCGTCACTCGGCTCCCTACAAATCGTAACACTAACCCTAACCATAATCCAAAGCCTAATCCTAACACTATCACTAACATCTAACCTCTAATCTAACCCTAACCTGAAAACTAAACCCTAAACCTAACCCTAATCCTAACAATAACTGTAACCCTAACCCTAAACCTATCCTCTAAACCTAATCCTAAACCTTACCCTATGCCTAACCCTAACCCTAACTCTAACCCTAACCCTAACCTTAACCCTAACCATAAACTTAACTTCTAACCCTAAACCTAAATGAACCCAAACCATAACCATAACCATAACCCTAACCCTAACCCTAACGCTAACCCTAACCCTAACTGTAATCCTAACTCCTAACACCAAACCCAAAACCTAACATTAACCCTAATCCTAACAATAACACTAATCCTAATCCCAATCCTAACCCTAACACTAACCCTAACCCTAACGCTGTCTAACTCGAACCATAAGGCTAACCCTAACCCTATAACTCTAACACTAACCCTAAACCTAATGCTAACACTAACCCTAACCCTAAAACTAACCTCTAAAAATAACCCTAACCCTAACACAAACACTAACACAAAACTTCACTTCTAAACCTAACCCTAACCCTAAACATCAACCAAAACCTAACACTAACCCTAAAGAAAAACCCTAATTCTAACCCTAACCCTAATCCAACCCTAACAATAACCCTAACCCTAATCCTATACCTAACACCTAACCTTAACCGTAACCCTAACCCTATACCTAACACTTAACCCCTAACCTTAACCCTAACCCTAACTGTAACACTAACCCTAAACCTAATGCTACCTCTAACCCTAATCCTAAAACTATCCCTAACCCTAACCCTTACACTACCCTAACTTAACTGTAACATTAACACTAACCCTAATCCGAAGACTAACCCTAACACTATCACTAACACTTAAACTCTAAACCTAACCTTAACCCTAGCCCTAACCCTAACACTAACACTAATGGTAACACCAAGCATAACCCTAAACCTAAACCTAACTCTAAAGCTACCCCTAACCCTAACACTAACGCTAAGCGTAACCTCTAACCTTAACCCTAACCCTAACCTAATCTTAACCCTAACACAAACCTAACTTCTAAACATAAGCCTATCACTAACCCTAACCCTAACCCTAACCCTAACACAAAGCTAACTTCTAAGCCTAACCCTAACACTAAACCTAAGCTTCAAACCTAACCCTAACCCTAACCTCTAAGCCTAACCATAACCCTATCCCTAACCCTAATACTAACCATAAATCTAATGCTAACCTCTAACAATAACCCTATCCCTAACCCTAACACTAACACTACCCCTAAACTCGAACCGTAAAACTAACCCTAAAGCTAACCCTAACCCTAACCCTAACCCTAACACTAACCTCTAACTCTAAACCTAACCCTAACCTAACCCTAAACTTAACTTCTAACCCTCACCCTAAACCTAACCCTTAACCTAATCAAAAACCTAACCCTAACCCTAACCCGAAAACTAAAGTCTAACCCTAACTTAATCCTAAACCTAACGCTAACTAACCCTAACACTAACCCTAACCATAATCCTAACCCTAACAATAAACCCTAAACCTAACCCTAACTCTAAACGTGACAGTAACCCTACCCCTACCCCTAACCCATACCTGGAACCCTAAACCTAACCTTAACCCTAACACTAAACCTAACACTTACCCTAACCCTACACTCTAACCCTAACCCTAAGCATAACCCTAACCATAAGCCTAATCTCTAACTCTAACACAAATCCAGACCCGAACACTAACCATAACCCTAACCCTAACCCTAACCTTAACCCTAACCATAACCCTAACCCTAACCCTAGCCCTAATCCTAATGCTAACACTAACCCTAATCCTAAAATTAACATTATCCCTAACCCCTACTGTAACCCTAACCTATTCGAAACCCTACCACTAACTGTAACCTGAAGCCTAACCCTAACCCTATATCTAACATTTAACCCCTAAACCTAACTCTAACACTAACCCTAAACCTAACCCAAACCCTAACCCTAATGCTAATCCTAACAATAACCCTAACCCTAAAGATAAACCTATCCTCTAACCCTAATCCTAAGCCTTAGCCTATCCCTAACCCTAACCCTTAACCTAAAACTAACCCTAACCCTAAACATAAACCTAACCCTAACCCTAACCCTAACCCTACATGAAACACTAAACACTAACACTAATCCTAACACCATCACCAACCCTAACCATAATCCTAACCTGAAACCTAACCCTAAAACTAAATGTAACCCTAACCTAACCCTAAACCTAACACTAACCTCTAACCCTAACACTAACACTAACCCTAACGCAAACCTCTTCTAACCCTAACACTAACCCTAACACTAAACCTCAACCTAACCCTAATCCTAACCCTTAACCTAACCCTCAACCTAACACTAAACGTCAACCTAAGCCTAATCATAAGCCTAACGCCAAACCCTAATCCTAACCCTAACCCGAACCCTAACATAACCCTAAGCCTAACCCTAACCCTAACCATAAGACTTTCCCTAACACCTAATGACTAACCCTAACAATAACCTTAAACCTAACCCTAACCCTAAACATAACGCCAACCCTAATCCTAAAACTAACACTAACCCTAACCCTTACCCTAACACTAACCTAATCATAACCCTAACCATAACCATAACACAAAGCCTAACCCTAACCCTATCTCTAACACCTAACCCCTAAACATAACTCGAACCCTGAGCCTAACCATAACCCTAACCCTAACCCTAAACCTAAACATAACCCTAACTCTAAATCTAACACTAATCCTAAACCTAACCCTAATCCTAAAACTAAAGTCTAATCCTAACCCTAACCTAACAATAACCTTAAACCTAACCCTAAGCCTAACCTTAATCGTAACCCTAGCAGTAACCCTAACCCTAACCCTAACACTAACACTAACCTCTAAGCCTAACCCTAACACTAACCCTAAATCTAACGCTAAATTCTAACCATAACCCTAACACTAACCCTAACGCTAACACTAACCCTCATGCTAACCCTAACCCTAAAATCGAACCATAACCCTAACACTAACCCTAACCCTAAACCTAACCCTAACTTCTAACCCTAACACTAAACCTAATCCTAACCCAAATCCTAACACTAAAACCTAATCCTAAACTTAACACTATCACTAACACTAACCCTATCCCTAAACACAACCCTAACCCTAAACCTAACCCTAACCCTAATTGGTAACCCTAACCTTAACCCTACCCTAACGTTAACCCTAACCCTAACTAACCCCTAACCCTAACCCTAACCCTAACCCTAACCCTAACCCAAAAACAAAACCTAACACTAACTCTAAACCTAACCCAAACCCTAAACCTAATCGTAACCATAACATTAGCCGTAACACCAGCCTAACCCTAACCCTCTCCCTAACACCTAACACCTAACCCTAACCCTAACCCGAACCTGAACCTTAAAACTAACCCTAACTTAACACTAACGCTAACATCTAAACCTAAGCCTAACCCTAAACCTAAGTCTAAACATAAACCTAACCCTAACCCTAAACCTAAACTCTAACCCTAACCCTAACAATAACTCTAAACTCTAACCCTAACCCTAACAATAACCCTAACACTAACCATAAGCCTAACCTCTAACCCTAATACTAATCTGAACCAGAACACTAACCATAACACTAAACCAACCCTAACCCTTACCTCTAACCCTAACCCTAACCTAACCCTATAACTCTAGTCCTAACCCTAATCCTAACACTAACACTAACCATAACCCCTAACTCCATACCCTAATCTTAACCCTAACCCTAACCCTAAAGCTAACACTAACACTAACCCCAATCCTAACACTAACCCCAATCCAAACCCGAACTCTGTCTAAACCTAACTCTAACCCTAACTCTAACCCTAACCCTAAACCTAAACCTAACACTAACCATAAATCTCAACCTAACCCTAACCCTAACCCTAATGACAAACCCTAATCCTAACCCTAACCCTAACTCCTAATCCTAAACCTAACCTTAATCCTAACCCTAAACCTAACCTATACTCTAACCCTAATCCTAAACCTTACAGTATTCCTAACCCAAATGCTAACACTAACCCTAACCCTAAACTTAAACAAAACCCTAAACCTACATCTAACCAAAACCCTAAACCCTAACCCAAACCCTAACATTATCCTTAACCCTAACTCTAGGCCTAACCCTAAATCTAACCCTAACCTTACCCCTAACCATAAGCTTAACTTCTAACCCTAAACCTAAATGAACCCAAACCATAACCATAACCTTAACACTAACCTTAATCCTAACCGCTAACCCTAACCCTATGTAATCCTAACCCCTAACGCCAAACCCTAATCCTAACATTAACCCTAATCCTAACACTAACCCTAACCCTAATTCCAATCTAACCTCAAAGTAAACCCTAACCCTATCCCTAACCCTAACATTAACACGATACTAACATCTAACCCTAACCCTAACACTAACACTAAAACTTAACCTAACACTAATCATAACCCTAACTCTAAACCTAACACTAACCCTAACATTAACGCTAAACATAAACCTAACCTCTAAACATAAACCTAAGCTGAACCCAAAACCTAACCCTAACCCTAACCTTAACCCTAACCCTAATCCTAACCTCTAACCCTAAACTTAACCCTAAA